ATGGTTGATGAGGAGAAATCGTCTCAAGAGGATTTTACAAAAGACCTGGCATTCACTATGCTCTGGTGTCTTCAAACTCTTAGAGAGATTCATCAAATCTCGATGTGATTGCCCCGGATTGACTGTAGTTGGCACAACAAAGTCTTAAAATTTTGCCCCAAAATAGTAAACAAGTTGGGAAAAGCATTAACTTGGAGAAGCAACATGTTCGTGCTTACGGTCTTCAGGTGACATGCCCCTGGAGATGATTTTTTCTTGAAATGATTCGCCAATTACCCAACATAGTTTCAGGCCTTAAAAGAATAAACTCATCACTGGTGCTTATGTGAGCCTCCTTGATATCAAACAAATGTTTTGCAGTTAGAAAAAGTTTACAATGAGAATGAAAATTCTAACGCAACAGTTATGTAAGTCTTGAAGATTTTGAAAGATATCGCACAAATTTTGCGAGTTAAAGCACCATTTATTTTTGTATAGGAAAAACATATGATACCAACATAACTATTTAGAACATTCATGGGAGTCAGGAACACTATCTCATTGAAGTATGCTTTCAAAATAACCTTGCTTCAATTAGGACTTTTGAAGGTTCTAACGTGGTCTGGTTCATGGTTTTTTAGAAAAAAGATTTTAAGGCTCAAAATATTTGGTGCCCACACATTCTTCATGATGTTCTCCAACCCTATGTTCAGTTAATTCAAACATGAGTGTTCATCTCTCAAAAGGATTTTGTGACGGTCGAGGAAACGACGAGGCTTTCGGAGTAGAATCCACCCTCATGTCTTCGTGTTTGTAGTCACCAATTTGTTCTTTGCTGAGGACTTTTCTTTGCAGTCCTTTTCTTTGAAATTTTTATTTTCCCTAACTTTTGCCTAGACTAATTCTTTTGAATTGATAGTCCAGCGGGATGCCTTAATTTTTGCCTAAGTCGCACGTTTTCAAGTTTTCGACTTAGCAGGCTTTTTCTTTTTACTTGATTTTTGATTTTTGAACAAAACAGTGACATTAGCTTGTCTTTACTTGTTGAGAGGATTGTGACTGCCTCGTTTCTTGATGAATGAGGGATAACATTGTGGTTCCATATCCTCTAGATTCATTATACATGAAGGATAGCCCTCGTAGTTTCTCTTCAAAAAACATCTTCCTTATGAATTTCGAACACTCAGTCAGATTAACTAAAAACTACCCTGCCCCAGGTTAAAATTCAAGGTTTTTTCGTATAGAAAAGAAACTTCTGCTTCAAAGGCTCAAAAGGGGTTAGCAAGGGATTATCTTCCTTATATCTCTGGTGTTTAGGGATTTGAAACAATGCCTGTACATCATCAGCAAGATTTTATTCAAAAGCATACAACCAAAGATTTTGTGTTTTTCAGATCATCATCCTCCCTTCAATCTCTACCTAGGCAAGAGAATGAGCAACAAGTTGGTATCATAATGCAAAAAGCAATTTAAAATTTGAAAACAAATATGAGTGAAACGAATGAATTTCTTCAAGACAAACATACTCATTGTATTAAGATAATCATTCAGATGCAAACAAGTTCTTATATGCAAACAATGTTTTGATAAACAAGAAAAATTACAAAGAGAAGAAATAAGTTAATAATCTGGGAAGGCTTTCCATCTGGACTTGAATCACCGAAAACATCCTTCAAAACTCAAAGTGACCATCAATCGTGTTTACTCTTCGGCACGTGCTTGATTTGAACTTCAAAACCAACGTCCTTGAATGACAATCGGTGAATACTTTTATCATCGCTTCCTCCTTCTTAGAAGGATTGACTTGGGCGGCAACCAAAATTTCAACCAAAACAGTTGAGTGATCCATACCAGCTTTCAAAATAGTCATCTCTCTACGGAATTCAGAAACCTCTTGCTTGATATTCTCCATTGTTCTCTTAGCGCGAGTGTTGTACTGGTGAGACCAAAGGAAAAATAAGACTCGGAAAAAGACCTTTGAAAGTGAAACAAAAAATGTAGAATGATGTATGATATGCAAAAGAGAGTTTTTATTTGATTTTCAAGGAACTCAAGATATTAAGTTGTAAACATCAGAGTATGAAGATAGAAGATGAATTTTAAATTGGCTCCAACATTGATCAAGTTATCATCAAGATCAATCATCCATTTTGGTGGATTAGGGTTTTCGCCCTATCAACACCCAAGATCCATTGAGCTTGACGAAACTTGTGATGTTTACAAAGGAAGACCTCCAAATTCCTTGAAAGTCAAGTGAAAAGGGTTTTATGGATGCATGAATGCATGGCTATGCAACAACCACAAGCAAGGTCACAAATAAAGTCGAAAGGTTCAACGTCACGAGCGTGGAGTCAAGGTAAGGAACACCCCCAAGGTATGTACTAATGGTTTAATCACACCTGTAGAACAAGGTTCTAAGAGTTCCCGGAGTCTACATTCCTCCTTCGGATATTACCAACGTCTTGATTACTCAATAATCAGCAATATTCTCAAGAGAAACTCATCCGAGCGTAGCATCGCGTAACAATTACTTCTGGATTACTCTGTTATAATCTCTGCGCTACACCTAAAAGGCCAAGATGGGTTAGGGTTCTACGGTTCCCAGCTTCTCTGGCTCCCATGTCGAAAATAATAATGTCTTCCCGATTACTCGGTAAACAAATATTACGTTCAAAAGGGCCTTCCACTGAGTGGGGGATCTCATGCCTCCTTCTTCGGGATTACTCCCTCAAAGTTAACATGACTATACCGCCCGTCCTATTCCTAAGTGTAACTTAGTCCGGGTATAGGACTTGTCCTTTGTAAATATTATCAACACCCAAATAATCATAATATATACATATAATCAAACAATCAAATAATGATAAAACAGATAAAACAAATTAGGCTTAACCCACTTAGGGATGGACCAGCAAGAGGTCAATGGCTCCCCAGCAGAGTCGCCAATTCTGTAGCGGTGAAAATCGGAGATCAAGCTATTAATTAACTTGACTCACAAAAGCAAGAGTCGCCACCGCGCTTTATTATTTCCAAGGGAAAAGGGAAAAGAGCGAAATAAAACCCTAAATAATGCAATGTAAAGTAATATTTAAAAGTAATGAAAATACAATGCGTTTTTAAAAGAGATCGAGAGTTCGGGGGTTGGTTATACAATGGGAAGGTATTAGCACCCAATGCATCTGCGGTACTCCGCAGGAACCTTTTGAAATATCTGTTTTTGGTTAAAATTGTTTGTTTAGTTAAATGGGTATGGATGAGATTTTGAAGATACGACGACCTAGTGTTGAAGTTTTGACTTAAAAGGGGGTGAGTTTAAAAATTGATTTGTAGGAGATTTGTCTTAAGATTAACAAAACTAAAAAAAGTATGAAGGGATTTCACATAATCATATTAGATACTCGATGACATGAAGTCAACAAATTAATTCTTTCCCTTGGATTAAAACCACAGACAGATAAATAAGCTAAGAGTATATCAAACCTCAGGTGAAAATAAATCACGAGCCGACGGCATCAAAAAACCTGATGTAAGATAATACTCCAAGCATCAAATAAAGCGCATCAAGTGAAAATAAATCACATACGAGAAAAGCGTGTCAGGAGAGTAATCAGATAAAGCGCAAAAGGGCGATGGATAAAGCTCACGGCATCTGATAAGAATTCCTGCATCACAAGAGATATACTGACAAATCTAACAGCACAGAAAGACTTATGTGCGTCCGCACAATTTTCAGAAGTTAGTTGGAATTAAAAATAAAATCACAATGTGATGAAAATAATATTTTCAAAACCTAAATTTATTTACAAGTAAAATATACAGTCAAAATATTATGCACGAGTATATATTTACAGTACCAAATATTAAATCAGAATAGTAAAATACAATAAAAAGGTAAAAGGGAGAAGTGTGGGAATTGTGGACGCGCTATGCTGGAATGAATTACTTGAAACGATTTTCAGAAACCTTCACAGTAAACAAATTTGTTAGTAGCATAAGCGGTATAAAAATTAAAATGAAGGAAATTGCAACAATTAGTATTTACGTTTGAAATCACAAAATATAAAAGTCAAAATGAACTTGTATGATGTATATGAACAAATGGATACTTACACAAATAATAATCAAGAATTCATGATATTATTCAATTTAATTCCGATACATGAAAAATCAAACTCAAATATACAAATCAAAAATTAGACAGCGAAGAGTCAATTTCCAAGCTTATGTACAAACACAAATATTAAACCAACAAACTTTGTGAATTGAATTCAATTTGAAACATCACCAATACCCCTTTTAAAATGATTTAAACAACAAAACAAACATCAACACCTGAAAATTCAAAATTAATCAACTCATGCCAAAATTACATTAAGCTCAAAAAGTGATGAAAATAAGTTTTGAATCAAAGTTTTAGCAAGATGTAAATCCGGACAGCATAACAGTAATAAATCCTTCATCACAATCTTTACAAGAACAAACCGGAATTTTCATACAATCTTTATTACAAAAACAAACTTTGCAAACTCAATATAACCGTATCAAACACGAACAACATCATTGTAACATTATCCAATCTAATTTCCATAATTATACGCTATGAATTTAGACGGCATAATGTTCACAACGCAGTTAGGCCATTTCCACTAGATTTTATCACATTTATCTTACAACAAAACACTTATTAATTCAAATCAAAACCAAAACACTAGCATAGGCAGCAACTTAACATAAAAGGATTCCACATAGCAACTTAGCACTTTGGCTTTGGATCAAACATATGAAGTGCATAATCAACATGGTTCAATCAATATAAACAACACTGCACCAGATTTAATGCAAGATATTTGGCATAAGCTTTAACTATCAAACAACAACACCAAAGAAACAAATTCGAAAATTCGAATTCGATATCAACCAAAGCGAGAAAGTGAAATTTGAATAGAATCGATACCAAATTACCTTTAATAGTGACACGTTGTTGTTGATTCAGTGTTGTTGTCGAAGTTGTTGAATCGAAAATGAAAAAAAAAATTGAACTGGATCGAGTTGCTAATGTCGGCACGGCGATTTTGTTTGTGAACGTTGAAGGTGATGTAACGATTGAAGGAGGGAGGTCTACTGTTGTTGTTGACAACGGAAGCACGAGTTGCAAAAAGGGTTTGGCCAGAATCGATGGTGATACGGCGTGGAGCGCATTGAAGACAAACGACGTCACTTTCGGTGTCGAGGACCATGAAAACGTATTTTGCTGGTGTGCCTACGCCTATGCGGGTGAAATACTCGCCGCTGCCTTGGGAAAGACCAGAGACTATGGAGCTACTGAAACCGGGGGTGGATCTAAGGGGACGAGACTGGTTGGGAGATGTGGCGAGAAGGATTGGACTATGGCAGCGTCTCTTTGGAGGCGGAGGTGGAAGAGTTGTTGAGGTGTTTTGTTGGAGGAGAGTGAGGTTGTGAGTGGTCGGAGAGAAACTGTTCTGGCCATGAGAGAGTTGAAGGTTTTGGGAGAGAGTTAATGGTTAGAGTTTGGGTTTGGAAGAGAGTGATGGTGGTTGTACGATAGAGATGGAAGGGAGTATTGATGAAGGTGAAGGGATGTGAATTGTTGTTGGAGATTTGATGAGGATGCTATTTGACGGAGGAATGAAGGGAATTTGTGAAGAAATTAAAGGGAGTATGTTGATGCGGATGGCGTTGGAATGGGGTTGTTGTTCGTGTTGAAGAAGAGGAAACGGAAGGGAGTATCATGCGTGTGGAGGGAGCTGTGAGAGAGATGGGTTATATAGTGCTGTTTGTGAAGAAATGAAAGGGAGTTTGTGGTTACTGTAAGTTTATGAGGGAGGAGAGGGGAAGTGGTTTGCAGCTTGCGGATGAATTCGATGAAGGAGGGATTATATTCCGAATAGTGGGTGGGTTGAAGGAAGTTTGGGGATAGAGTGAATTGATGGTGCTGGATGTATGCAGGCGGGAGGAAGAGAGTTAAAGAGAGGAAATGATGATATGCTGAAAAAGAGAGGAGTACTGTGTTGCTTTTTTGTTTTTTGTTTTATGGAGTAGAGAAAGAGATAAGTCTCCTGTTCCAAAGAGTAAAATAAGCTTTATATAGAAAAATGAAAAACAGAATTTGATTTCAAAATTAATCACAACCGTTCAAAATTATTCAATATGCATTAATCCTCAAATTTTGTCAACAACCAATAAAAATCAAGTATAATGCATTTAATATTTTTATGACAAAAACACCCTTAAATGATAAAAATGAAATACAAAACTGAAACTATTAAAGTTAACTCAATTTAAAATAATTTTGAATATTTTCAGAATAAAAAAATAAAGACCCAAAATGACCGAAAACGATAAAAAATGGACGAAAGTTTATCCGAAAAAATAAAATGAACACATTAAAATAATCTACATGTCACAAAGATTAAAGAAAAAAAATATTCAAGAAGTCAAAAATCAAAAATAAAATAATAATAAAATATCAGACTAAACAGACGTTTAAGGTTAAAAACGAGACTTCGAACTGTACCGAAAAAATAAAGCGAGCATACCGTCATAATCTACGCGAAACGCAGATTCATAAAATGATCGGTAAAAGGTGAAAACTTGAAATATTTTCTCGCTAATTTCCCGCATAGTGTCGAATCGCTTTTAACAGCCTGTCTATAAAACCGAAATATTTTATTATCGACATATAAACAACTTGGAGCAATGCAAGAAAATAGTAAACAAATAAAAATGAATGAAGTGAAATGTCGGGTATTTTACAACTGAAAGACGATGCAAACTTTGATTTAAACTGACTTTTTCTGGTCAACTTAAATACGACTAATGATGCAAAATGTGATGAATGAAGATATTTACTAATGATTGTGACCAAATAACAAAATATGATATGAAAGTGCGAATAAAACATATTAGGGGCGAAATTTAGGGTGCAACAGTTGTGCCTTGATGAATCAGTCTTCGAGAATCCATAATCAACCGTACTTCGGGTTTGGGACACTCAAAACTTTAATTGAGGCGCGACACCTGATGCTCTTGATTCAGACCTGTCTTTGCACATGAAGCAAAAGAAAACATGAACATACACCTTTGTATGGATTAGAAATTAGTGATACATAGGCTAAAAGTGTTCAAAACACTTGACAAACTTCGCATAGTCAATGCTTGAAGGTGAGAGATTAAAACCGACTGTATTTCGTGACCTTGACTTATCTTTAAAAATGCAAAAATAAAAATGGGATCTTAGGTCAAAAATTTGGGTACAACAAGTACCAATCGAAATGCTCCTTCAGAATACCAATCAAAATGCTCCTTCAGAATGCCAATCGAAGTGCTTCTTCAGAATGCAAATCGAAGCATCACTCAAAAATTTTACTTTTCCTTAGGCAAGAGTTTGTGATCAACCATGCAAGGGGAAGGCTTTGGGAAACATGAGAGGGCAAATTTTGGGGTGCAACACATAGGCTTCTAATGAGAGACTCTTGAATGATTTACATCAGTGTTGAGACTGGAAAAGACATGATTGACATCAGTATGGAGACTGGAGAAAAAATGATTTACATCAGTACAGAGACTGGAAAAAGAAATGATTTACATCAGTACTGTGACTGGAAAAGGAAATGATTGACATCAGCACTGAGACTGGAAAAGGAAATGATTGACATCAGTACTGTGACTGGAAATAAACATCTCTAAGTTCTGAATTTTGCCAAGAATGGTAACACAATCCTTTTTTAACCAAGATATCGCTTGAAAAGGATAAAATACAAACTTCCCCACGGGACTTTTCTGAAGGGATGCCATTTGCTGAGTAGACATTATTGTTGGGGATACACAAGCTTCTCAAATAAAGAGGCCACCACTTGCTTCCTTTCAAAGGTGTCAATAACCCACAAGCTGCTCATAAAGAGACCGCCACTTGCTGTCTTCAAAGAATCTTAAAGCACACAAGCTGCTCATGAAGAGTCCGCCACTTGTTTCTTTCAAAGATACCAATAACCCACAAGGTGCTCATAAAGAGACCGCCACTTGCTGTCTTCAAAGAATATTAAAGCACACAAGCTGCTCATGAAGAGTCTGCCACTTGTTGCTTTCAAAGATACCAATAACCCACAAGTTGCTCATAAAGAGACCGCCACTTGCTGTCTTCAAAGAATATTAAAGCACACAAGCTGCTCATGAAGAGTCCGCCACTTGCTGCTTTCAAAGATACTAATAACCCACAAGCTGCTCATAAAGAGACCACCACTTGCTGTCTTCAATCCAAAGGCATTGTTAAACATTTTTACAAGTTTAATCTAATAAAGTTTGTTTATTTCTTGGTTTGCAAATTTAAATCTCCCAAAGTCTTTGAAATCATTACACACGCATCCCATTATCATGCACATCACTACAGGTACCATTACAGGTTTCTCATCTTCTTCGTTGTTTATTTTAGCACGAAATGTCTTCTGAAATACCTACCGATCAAGCCATTAAAGATCTACAGGCACAGAATGCCCAATTCCAAGAGATGTTCTTGAACTTGGCTAAAGGGAAAGAGGATTTGAAGACTCTCATCCTAAAGGAGAAGAAGAAGAAGAACAAGAAGGTGGTTCTTCTGAATATGGGTAACAGATTTAGAAATAGGTTGCGACAGGAAGCTGATCTGTCTCTTTCATCCAAAGGAGAGGAGGACCAAGAGGAAGAAAATGGTCCCAGTCCTGTGGTCTCTGATAATGATACTGATTTTGATGATGTGCAGTATCCTCCTGCTGAGGATAGGTACAAACAACTCGAAGACCGTCTTAGCACTATGGAGATTCAGAAGATACCTGGTTTGGACTTCGGAGATCTGGGACTAGCATCTGGGGTGGTGATCCCTCATAAGTTTAAAGCACCGGTTTTTGCTAAGTACGATGGAGCATCTTGTCCTAAACTCCACCTCCGCTCGTACGTCAGAAAAATCCAACCCTACACTGCTGATAGAAATTTGTGGGTACATTTCTTTCAAGATAGTCTGTCAGGGGCTCAGCTTGAATGGTTTTATCAATTGGAAGGAGCTAATGTCCGCAACTGGGAGGACCTTGCTGCTACTTTTTACAAACAATATCAGTATAACGCCGACCTTGCTCCCACTCGTACTCAACTTCAGGGTATGTCCATGGCTGCAAGTGAAGGTTTTAAGGACTATGCTCAAAAGTGGAGAGATTTGGCTGGAAGAGTCCAACCCCCTCTGTCTGATAGGGAGTTGGTGGACATGTTTCTAGGGACGTTGTCTAGTCCATTTTTCAATCATATGATCGTCAGTTCGTCATCTGGGTTTACTGAATTGATTTTGACTGGGGAGAGAGTAGAAGCTGGTATCCAAAGTGGTAAGATACAGAAGGATACATCATCAAGTGCAGTAAAGAAGCCTTTCATCGGTAAGAAAGAAGCTAGTGCAGTTTACAGCTCGAGGAGCCAAAACTGACCTGAACGCCATTAAGCAGTAAATGAGGTAGTGATATCAAGACCCACCGTTTCCCCATAACGCAACAATCAACAAAGAATAGAGAGACCGCAAAGACAGTACACTCGGCTTAATATGACCTTGTCTCAAATTCTACCACAGTTATTGAAGACCAACCTGGTAACTCTGAGGGAATCCCCGAAGAATCCCAACACCACATCTCCGCTATATAATCCGAACTCCCGCTGTGCCTATCACTCTGATAGCTCAGGTCATTATACAAACAACTGTTGGGCCTTGAAGAATAAGGTGCAAGATTTGATTGAAGCTAAAGAAATTAAGTTTGACGCTCCGGAGAAACCCAACATCATAACTGCACCCATGCCCAAGCATGACTCGAGAATCAATGCTATTGAGGTTGTCTCCGCCACGAAAGATGCTGATGAAGAGAACCCGGATGTTGACAGCTGGATCTACCCGACTACCAACGGTGGATGGAACAATTAGACGACGAAGGACTTCGTGCCCGTTTCTTTTATTACACAATAATAGACTTTTGTTTTGAGATTTGTAACAGACAGTTTAAAACCTTACGGCCCGGTGCCTTGCCTGAGGCACCTTGGCTTTTCTTGTGAGGGCTTATTATTTGTCATTTTCATATATCATCAATAAAGCATTGGACGTTTTCTTGCATTAAAATTTTTACGCTCCTTGTTTTTCTTTTCTATCTCGCATTCTATCAAAAAAACTATGCTCTTACACTCACATATCATATTGCATATCCACATCCACTATGGATTCCATTGATAACAACTCTGCTACTGTCGGTTATGACTTCGAAAATCTGATCAACCAAGCCGAAGACGAAGGTGAGGATTATTGTGAAGTGCCGGGGGAACTTGCTATACTGTTACTACAGGAAGAGAGGGCCATACAGCCTCATGAAGAGCCAGTGGAAGACCTCCTTAAAGTATGGGATTAAGGTCA